ACCATTATCACCAGAGTTCTGCCCAGCACACAGAAAGCCTGGAGCAAGGAGGCCTGGTGCCTCCACCCCCATACTGCCTGCCCTTTGGCCGCCCTCCCCTTCCACTTGGCTCTTGAAACTCTGGCAGCTCAATCATACTGGGTTTTCGCTGCTGTTTCCAGCAGGTGGGGTGCGGGGTACTCACAAAGGGGGCCTACCAAGCTCCCTCAGTGGGTTCTGGTGGACACCCAGAAAGGGGTCTCAGAATGACCTGATTCATCTGCTTGGAGCAGAGGCCTTCAAGGACTCTAACCCAGAATGCAGGAAGCATCTTTCCTCTCCCAGGCCCCGGGAAGGGGCTTGGCAAATCCTTATCTCCGGAGAAGCAGCTGCTGGAGAAATACCTTTGCAGCTGACTCACCCTTTCCTCACCAGCCCCTCCCACCCAGCCCCACACCAGGCCTTTGAGACACTGAGAGAGAGAGAGCTGGGGGAAATAGCACCCCCAGCTGGGCTGACCTGGGCTCTGCAGAGGGTGTGGCTACCACAGATCTGGCTGAGCCCTAGCTGGGTGGTTGGGGGTTTTATACCACATGAATGGCAGTCATCTGGGGTCACAGTTGTTCTTAGGAATTTGTTCAGCTGAGGCCTCTGACTTCCTCTACTGCCTCACGCAAGCATTGCTGGATATGACTTACTGAAGACATTGCTCTCTGGGGTACAAGGCCCTATCCTTCCACCAATATTTATTACTTGTCTATCATGAGCCAAGGTCCACGGGTGGCATAAAAGATTGGTGCTGCTCTACTAAACTAAAGGTTGGTGGTTCAAACCTACCCACAGCACCGTGGAAGAACGGGCTGATGATCTCCTTGTAAAGATGTTGTTGTCAGTTTCCACTCAGAGTGACCACATGTGACAGACTAGAACTGCCCCCTCAGAGTTTTCTAGGCTGAAGTCTTCTTGGAAGCAAATCATCAGGTCTTTTTCTAGCAGAGCTACTGGGCGGGTTTGAACCAACAAACTTTCGGTCAGCAGTAAGATTATAGCCAAGAAAACTATGAAGCAGTTCTTCTCTATAACACATGGGGTCATCATGAGTCAGAATTCACTTAAAGGCAATGGGTTTTCTTTTTTATCATGAGCCAGGGAGTCCCTGGGTGGTGTGGATGGTTAATGCATTCATCTGCTAACTAAGAGGCTGTAAGTTCTAGGCCACCCAGAGACATCTCAGAAGAAAGTCCTGCTGATCTACTTCCAAAAATCAGCCACTGCAAACCCTGTGGAGCACAGTCCTACTCTGACATCCATGGGGTCACCATGAGTCCCATGAGTCAGCAATTCCTCAACCGCAACTGGGGTTTTGTTGTTGTTTTTTGTTTTCATGGGCCTCCTGTTGGGATCCAGCAGATGAACAAGCTACGGCCAGTCCTCAAGGGGCTTTCAGGCAATTACCTACCAGCAGGATGCCTGCTGTAGCTGGGGAAGGGCTGAGCAATGAGGGTTGTGGGTATTCCCTGCTGTGGGATCTCAGACCACTTGGCTCTCTGGGCCTCAGTTTCCCCGCAAATATCAAATACAGATACTGGGATACTGGCCTTCCTTACTCATTGGGTGATTATGAGGATTAAATGCAGTGATGCTTATGAAAGCACTTTGGAAGGTTAAACCACAACTGTGGAGGAGGAGGATTTCTGGTAACTGGGAAAGGAGGATAGTGCCTAAATTCATGAGGTTTCTGAACTCAATTTGTCTGGATTGTCTGATCACACTTGGTTTGGAGGGGGGAGGATCAACCCACCTCCCGGCATTGGTTCCAGAGCTCAGCTTAGGCTCAGAGTTAGGGGCTGTGGTTTCTCCTAATAACAATGGCTAACAATTATTGAGCACTCACTGCACACTAGCCACTGTTCTAAGTTTTTATTGGGTATTTACTCATTTTATCCTCATAATTCTATGAGTTGAGTATTAAACACTTAACATATATGTGATCCTCATGACAAGCCTATAAAGCAGGAACTATTATTTCCCCCACTTTACAGATGAGAAACTGAAGCACAGAAAGATTAAGTAACTTAGCAATTAAAACCAAAAGAACAAACTCACTGCCATTGAATCCATTCCCACTCATAGCAACCCCATCTTTGTTCGGCAGAGCAATTGGTGGGTTCGAACCACTGACCTTTTAGTTAGCAGTCAAATGCTTTAATCACTACACCACCAGAGCTCCTTAACTTAGCAGTTAAAAGAGCAAGGAGCTCTGGTGGCATAGTGCCTAAGGCATTTGACTGCTAACCAGAAGCCTGGCGGTTCAAACCCATGAGACACTCTGTGGAAGGAAGACTGGGCAATCTCCTTCCTTAAGGATTTAGCACCTTGAAACCCAAAAGGGGTCACTATGAGGAGCTGGAATCAACTCGATGGCAGTGAGTTTGGTTTAATTGTTGAAAGCTGATCTTTCTGACTCCAAAGTTTGTGCTCGTCCTTTGTTCAACCCACACGATGCTCTTCTAACCTTGAACACTCAGCCTTATTTCCAGGCAGAAGGCCTCTCTCCCATCCTTTCTGAACTGGAACCGAGAAAAAAACAAACCCATTCTGACTCATAGTAACCCTATAGGCAGAGAAGTGTCCCATAGAGTTTCCAAGGCTGTAAATCTTTACAGGAGCAGACTGTCACACATTTTCCTGCAGAGCGACTGGTGGGTTTAAACTGCCAACCAGTCAGTTCGAAGCCAAGCACTTAACCACAGCATCCCCAGGGCTCCTTATCTGGACCGGGACAGACTCCTAGTATTCCAGGCCAGAAAGGCCAATAACTCCCTCCAGACCTTTAGACAATTCTCCAGAAGCAAGTCCTAAGCCACTGACCAGGTGGGGCTCCAGGACCTGAAGCAGCCCCTCCGTCTCTTTGTCTTTCAACAGAGAAGGAGCAGTCAGCAGCCACATTCCTTTGTTGTTAGCTGTTGTTGAGTTGCCTCCACTGATGTGGACCCATGCACAATGAGATCAGCCCCTTGTGATCCACAGGGTTTCACTGGCTGAGTTTTTGGAAGTGGATCACTAGGCCTTTCTTCCTAGTCTTTGTTAGTCTGGAAGCTCCACTGAAACCTGTACAGCATCATAGCAACCCACTATCAGAGGGTGGTGGCCGCGCTAAGGTGCACTGGCCAGGAATTGAACCCAGGTCTCGCACATGGAAGGCAAGAATTATACCACTGCACCACCACTGCAGCCTAACATTTCCTTACACATTTATAATTCCTTAGAGAGAGAGAACTTAGAAGCACCTACTATGTGCTAGCCACTGGGATGCTGTATTTATAGTAAAAGGTAACATTTGTTGAGTAATTACCATGTGCCAGGGACTGCCCGATGTGTATGTATTCATTTGTTTAATCCTCACAACAATCCTAACATGTAGAAACTATTACCATTCTACTGCACAGAGGGAGAGGAAATGAAAAACAGAGGAGTTAATTAACTTTCCCAAGATCACAGAGCACAGGATTTTTCAGATAAGAAATACAGTTTGCATCATTACCAAGTACAGAGAGAGAGAGAATTCACAAGACAAAATTCCACTTCACTATGTGCAGCAACCCTGATCTTTTCTACTCTATTATGTTTTGCTTTATTTTTTCTTAAATTCTGGTCATGACCCACTAAATTGATTTCACAACCCAAATGAGTCACCACCCACAGTCTGAACAGCACTGAGTCATAACTAGAAGTGTCAAGGCCAGGATTCAAACCCAAGCAATAGGTTCCAGAGCCTAATCTCTTGGCAGAAAGAATGGCTGGGAAAGGAAGATGCTGGAGGCCCAAGGACAGGTTGGGACTGTGTGAATGAGGGGAGTGGAGGCCTCAAAATTTCTGCCCCCCTCCTTCCCTCTCTCCCCACGTCCCAGCACAAGATAATACAAAAGTCCCTCACATTTCCTTTGAAACGCAAACTTGCTAGCATAGACACACAGTTCTTCTTTTGCTTAGTCTTCACATCAAGCCCATGAAGCTTGATATAGCTAACCAAGAGCCAGATTTAGGCAGGGTAAGTGATTTGGCCACAGTTCCAGAGCTAGGACTAGAACCCAGTGTCCTGTGGCCTGGCCCCAGACTTCTTCCACAGCTTCCGCAGCTCAGCCTTTAGGATAATGGTGGTGATGGTGGTGGAGAAACAGTCGTGGTGGTACTGAGGGTTGTAGAGGAACGGTGGTGGACATGATGTGGAGGTAATGGTGATGACCATGGTAATGGTGTGATGCTAGCAGGGCTGATGTTGGCACTGGCAGTTATAGCAGTAGTGGAGTGGTGGTGAGGGAGGTAATGGTGAGGACAGTCCTACTGATAGTGATTGGAATAACAAAAATTGGTATTGGCGGCTACCAATGTCAACCACTTAGAGGGGGAACTCTGCAGGAGACGTTGGATAGAGAGGGAGAATAATGTGGAACAAAACTCAAAAGCATTTGGAAAAAGAAAGGGGGGGCCAGGTCTGCTGGTCTGATAGAGCCTGCTGGAAGCACTGAGACTATGGCCCCTAACTGCCCTTCAGGTCTAGAATTGAACCCACACCTGCGGCTTCCAGCCAAGCAAAAGACAGGCATAGGAGTTGAACATTTACCTGGGGTAGATACACTCCTTGGAGAAAACAATCATGGGAGAAAGAAGGGCTGTTTATGCACCAGAAGACAGCTCGGGGCAGGGGTGCATGGAGGGATGGACACAGGGAAGAGGTGACTGTTGGGAGGAAGTGGGAGGGGAGCTGTTGCATTGTGGTGAATTGTGGTCAGTGTCATGAGACAAAGTGTATGTGAACTGCTGTATGGAAAGTGAATTTGCTCTGTAAATTTTCACCCAAATCACAATAAAAAAAAAATCTATATTGGTGATGTTGGTAAATGGGGGAGTTGATGATGGTGGGGGTGGCAGCAGGAGTGGTGGTACTACCACAGCACTATCTACACCCCCTTCCCAAATTAATGTGAATCCCCTCTTCTCCTCCCCTCCTCCTTCCCTAGCACTTTCCTGAGCATCTGGACCACTTTGCGGAGAACATGGAGGACTTCTCTAATGATCTCTTCAGCAGCTTCTTTGATGACCCAGTGCTGGATGAGAAGAGCCCTCTCCTAGACATGGAATTGGACTCCCCAACACCAGGCATCCAGGCTGAGCATAGCTACTCCCTGAGTGGTGACTCAGCGCCTCAGAGTCCCCTCGTGCCCATCAAGATGGAGGACACCACCCAAGGTAAGAGGTGGCAAGGGCCAGGGACAGCACAGACTCAGAAGCCCAGGAAGGGAGGAACCAGAAGGGACACAGGAGCAAGCCGGCAGGATGAAAAGGCCAGAGGCTCCCAGAAGAACTGCTCACAGACCACTTCCGTGGGGTACTGCTCCATGACTTTCTGTTCTCCCTCTAATCAAACCCACATGAGCTCTTCTCAAAAGGCTCTTCACTGTTGTAGGTCAATGGTTTACCAAGTGTGGTCCCCAGACCAGCAAAACCAACATCACCTGGGAACTTGTCAGAAATGCAAATTCTCAAGTCCCACCCCAAACCAAACCACTACCATCAAGTCAATTCCAACTTATAGTGACCTTATAGGGCAGAGTAGAACTGCCCCCATAGGGTTTTCAAGGCTGTAGATTTTTACTGAAGCAGACTGTTTCATCTTTCTCCCATGGAGAGGCTGGTGGGTTCCAACTGCTGACCTTTTGGTCAGCAGCCCAATGCTTTAACCACAGTACAACCAGAGCTCCTACCCCAGACCTACTGAAATAGGAACCCTGCTGGTGAGGCCCAGCCATCCCAGTGATTCTGATGCGCCTCAGGTCTGAGAAGCACTGACAGAGAGAGCAGTTGGGGTGATAAGATAATAAGTGTGGACAAGTTACAACGACTCCAGTACTTTACCACCTCCTTGTGCTGCGATGCCTCCCACATGTTACATGGGGGAGACCCCTGCACTCTGCTTTTATTCCTGAGAGTGGGGTTCCCCACAGCTCCTCTGTCTTCCAAACCACCCCCCACCAAACACACACACACACACACACACACTTTAAAGCAAAGGGCACTCTGAGTCTTTCCTGTCAGGTAATCCTCAAGAACTCCAGCCAGTGCCCCACCTAGAAATGGCCTTCTTTTGGGCATTTCCTCAAATACAGGTGGTCCTGGCCCTATCAGTTTTAGCTGGGTGACCATGGACAGGTCTCTTAACCTCTACAAGCCTCAGTTTCTTCATCTACAAATGGGAATAACAATAAGCATTTTCACAGCACTGTCCAGTTTACGAGTGCCTTCAGGTTAGTTACCTCGTTTATTTCTCAAAACTGACATGTGAAGTCAGAATCACTTCTGTCATAAGTCCCTTTTGACCATAAGAAAAATGAGATTTCAGGAAAGCTGAGTTGTCAAGGTCACAGTAAAATGCAGAGCAGAAACTTGGGACCAAGTCCCCTGATTCTAAATATCCCATTCTTGCCACTTCCCAGTTTGCCACACCCAATGCACAGCAAACACACTGGGTTTGGAACCAAACAGGCCTTAGTATGCATACTGGTGCCTCCACTTGCTACTGTGATATTGGGCAAGTTACTTAACCTCTCTGAGACTATTTCCTCAACTATAAAATGAAGCTAATATGCACTTTGAGAGTTCTAGTCAGGATTAAAAATTATATACATACAGTACCCAACTCAGTGCCTAGCACAAAATATGTATCAATAATTAGTGGCTATTTTCATTGTTGATATATGTTATATGCCCATACTGTATGTATATAACCTTTTTAATAATTAAAAAATTAATAATAGATGATTTGTGACTATTTTCATTGTAAGGTGGTCTAGTGGCAAAACGGTTGAGCACTTGACTGCTAACTGAAAGGTCAGCAGATCGAACCCACCCAGTGGCTCCACCAGAGATGTTCTTGTTGTTGTTATGTGCCATCAAGTTGGACCCCACTCATAGCGACCCCTCCTTCCGAGGCAGTATCACTATGGAAGTAGCTTGCCCAATCTTCCTTCCGAGAACTGGCTGGTGGGTTTGAACCGCCAGCCTTCTGGTTAGCAGTCAAGTGCCTTAGGCACTATGCTACCAGAGAAGAGACCTGGTAATCTACTCCCATAAAGATTACAGCCTGGGAAACCATATAGGGTAGTTCTACTCTGTCATACAGGATCACTGTGAATCAGAGTCGAGTCGATGGCACACAAAACATTTTCATTCTGCATCTAAAAATTCTAGTAGGTGGCTGAAACAATGAAGAAGGTTTGTATTCCGTCTGTCCCCCTCCAGAGGACAATGATCTTGAGTGAGTTTCTTGGCTTTTTCATCTATCTGCCCCATAGGTGTTTGGGAGGAGGAAGCGAGTTAGTGCAAGAGCTTAGAGCAGCCCACCGCACAAGAAGTGTGAACCACTTCTAGGGCTCTCAGAATTCCCCAGGGGCAGAGGCAAGCCTTTGTACCACCACCTGGTGAGGGCAGGGACACGCTCTGGGGTTGTAAATTGTTCCAGGACTTGTGGCTGCTGAAGTCTCAGCCTCCCACAGTGCCTTGGCCTTAGCCAAGCTTCCAGAGGCCTCCTCAAAGGGCAGGGCAGGGGTGTAGGGGTGACCACCCCCTCCCATGGCAGGGTCTCATCCACCCTTACTGAGCCAGCCCAGCTACTCCTCCCTGGCCACCCCAAGTCTATTTTTAAAGCAATTTGTCTGTGGGCCCTTTGCAGGGGACAGCTTCCCGGAGACCAGAGGCCTGGTCCTGTAATTTGGGTAGATGGTGGGTGTTCCTGGAACGTGGGGGCAGCCTGTGGCCTAGAGCCAGGCACTCAGGCTCCCTGCTGGGCGGGGCCTGGCCTCTACAGTGAAATCAGGCAGCCAAGCCACTGACCCCTCTCCCCACCCACAGTGGGTTCCAAAGGCCCCTCCAGCCCCTCCCCTGCATGCCAGCCCCGCCAACCCTACTTTACCAGGCTGCTTCTTGGGCTGCCGTCTGGTCCAGGCACTGGGGCCTCCATAAGCAGGGATGATGTGGGGTAGAGGACTGTGGGCATCCATCATGGAGAAGGGGTGATGTGAGCCAGCCACTGCCGTATGGCCCAGATGAGACCAGGAGGCCCACTATGTGGGTAGGAGGTAGACTCTGAGTGGGAGACATGAGCATCACCCCTCACTCCTCGCACCCCTCACACCCCCTACGTCTCAAGTCCTATAGATTCTTCCTTCTAAATTTGTCTCTAACATATCCCCTCCTCTCCATCCCCCTGCTTGGACTATTTCAAAAGCCCCCTGAGGGTTTCCCTGCCACCATCTTGCCAAAAGCCATTCCAATCTCTACACCAGGCAAAGTGATCTTTGTTAAAAAAACATATAAATCCAAACATGTTGAAAACTCTCCAATGGCTGCCCCATTACCTCTAGGATTAAGTTAAGTCACAGCTCTTATCCCTGACTTCAAGTCCTTGCCACCCCTGTGGCCACTCGACCCCATATACCACTGCCCTTTCCATTCCAACTGCACAAACTGCCTGTAACCAAGCCTGGTGCTCAGCAAGCGGTTACAACGCTGCACTGACCACATTCACAATGACTATTTGTTAAACATGTATTTTTCATCATGCATGGTGTTAAGTGCTTTATGCATTATTCTATTTAATCCTCCCAGCCTCCCTACTAGGTAGGTCTTGTTCCCTTCCCTGACTCGCTGGGTGGTGCAGTTAACACACTGGGCTGCTAACCAAAAGGTTGGAGGTTCCAGTCCACCGAGAGGCATCTTGAAAGAAAGCCCTCGTGTGCCGTTTCTGAAAAATCAGTCACTGAAAACTCTAAGTTCAGCTCTACTCTGACACACATGGGGTTGCCATGAGTTGGAATCAACTCGACAGCAATTGGCAAACTGATCGGTTGGTTCCTTTCCCCATTTTACAGATGAGGAACTAAGGCTAAACAACTTGTGTAAGCACACACAGCCAGTCAGAAGGGGTCCAGGTCTGTTGACCAAGCCCATTCTGTAAGTTGTTGAATGAAGAGGATGTCCTCACCCACCCTGGCCCCAGCTCAACCTACCCACCCACCTCACAAGCGCCCCTCCCTTGCCCCTTCCTGCCACCTCCAAGTGCACCTTGGCATCTCTCCTGTGTCCAGTCCAGAGCAGCTCCCAGGGGCAGGAGGGGGCTGAGCCCTCTGCTCCAGGAGTCCCCTAAGCCTGGGTCCTGCCCCTTCCCCCAGACGTGGAGCATGGAGCATGGGTGCTGGGGCACAAACTGTGCTCCGTCATGGTGAAGCAGGAGCAGAGCCCGGAGCTGCCCATGGACCCTCTGGCTGCCTCCTCCGCTATGGCTGCCGCCGCCGCCATGGCCACCACCCCACTGCTGGGCCTCAACCCCCTGTCCAGGCTGCCCATCCCCCACCAGGTGAGCCTGGGGACTGTCTGTAGGTGCTGAGGGAGGGAGGAAGGGTGATGGGTCATTGGTGGAAATAGATACCCAAAGTCATGTGCACCGTGGGGCGCTATGAACAGGGAGATGTCAGCCCCAGGACTGAGGGTGGGGCTCACAGACCATGCCTCTGCCTCCCCCTGTGGCAATCCCTTCACAGTCCTAGCTTGAGCACAAAGCCCAGCACCCTCGGAGTATGCTGAGAGCCTCACTGTGTGCAGAAGGAAAGCTTAGAGCAAGCCAGGCAGGCTGGGTATCACGGGCCAGGGCCAGGTTCTCAGTGATGGAAAGACTCCAGAGCTTCAGAATTTTTTAAAAAAAGAAGAAAGGCCAAAATAAAATCACAAAAATTGTACTACATTTCAATTGTTTACATTTATGAAATTAATTTTTAACCTATACTTTCATGTCAGCCTCCACCCCCCACCGCCCCATCCCCAGCCCATGAATACATGAATAGAGAATGGCATTCAGCTGTAAATCCAAAGTTGATATCAAAAGCCCATGGCCCCAGTTACCCTTCAGGCCTAGAAATGGACTTACATCCATGGATTGACTCTCAGCCCATCAATAGAAAAACCTACATACAGAACACCTACCCCAGGGAGATGTACCCACCTACTCTAGGGAGATTCACCCCTTGGATCAATCAGCCATGAGACACCAAGACACCAGAGGGGTAGCACTCACACAGAAGGAAAGCTGGACAGACAGGAATACATGGATGAGAAGGGCACAGGGATTTTAAGAAAAAAAAAAGACCCTCTTTGGGAGTGTGAGGCCCAGACCTCTAGCCCCTGAGAGAGGCCTGGGCCCCAGCTCAACTCCTCCCTTGCGCTCTGGATGTGTTGTATTTATTCTTTTCTACTTCAGCTTTCCCTCTGTAAAATGGAAGAGTGTACCATCTCTAAGGTGCTCCTAACTCTAAGATTCTACAGTATGGGATCATCTTAAAAACCCTACAGTTGGAGCGTGGCTGGCCCTGCCCCCTGCTGGCACGTGGCTCACCTGATCAAACTGTATGTAGCCAAAGGCAAGAAAGGTCAGCTCCTCCCTGCCCCTCCTCTGACCAGAACCATCAAGGGTTGGCTGCAGCTGTGCAGGGTCTTTTGAAACCACCTCCAAGAGAGGCTCGGTGACTCCTCGGGCCTTGCCAAGCAGGAGGGGAAGGGGTGAAAGCAGCCAGGGTCTTGGAGACTGGGCACGTGCCTTGGATGAGGAAACAGATGTTCAAGGAGTCACTCATCTTAGCCACAATAACAGAGGCAGATACAGTGGAGTTGTGATCCAAGCTCTGCCCACCAGACCCCAGTGCCCACACTCTAGTGAAGTCACAACACCATAGCAGAAAGCACAGAAACTAGCAATTGACATTGTCAGTAATGAGCTGTGTGACCCACACAAGTGTCACTATTCTGTGTCTTAGTTCCCTCATCTGTCCCCTCACCAACCCCAGGGCAGAGCTGGAATAAAGACCAGGGTCCACACGTTTCCTTCCAACTTGAACCTTCCATGATTCTTATTCATCTGCCTAAATTTGGAATTCTGATGTCCCATCTACAATATCCTGACCTCTCTCTGCTGGCTGCAGACCTGGGGAGGAGAGATGGTCCTGAAATCCAACACTTAGCATAATGTCTTCCTCAAAGAGAACACCGCTTATATGTGTGTTGGTAATCATAGGTCTAAGGTCATGCATGTTCTTCCTGGAACAAGTTATGGTATAAATAATAGAAAATTATGCTGCTAAAAATGTAAATCTAATTCCAACAGCTCCTTGCTTCAAACCTGGGAGGGGCTCCTCATTGCTTCAAACTCCTTTGCCTATAATCTGCGCCTGCCCAGGCCCTTCTGGTCTCTTTTCCCGACACTCCACCTCTAACACCCCCTATGCTCTAGACATACTGAATACCTGTGGTTTCCAGATCAGGCAATGCTCTTCTGGCCTCTCTTTGCATGTGCTTTTCCTTCTGCTTGGGATGGCTTTCCTCTCACTCACCACCTGCCCCACCCTTCATCGGTGATACTCCTATTTAGATAGATTTCAGGACTCATTTCAAACTTCAACTACTCAGAGAGCTTCATGCTAGTTAACAACTCTTCTGTTATTGTTGTTATTATTATTATTATTTACTATAGTAATTCTTACCATTCTATGGTTACCATTCATTGAGCAACTCTCATGAGTTAGACACTACCTCTTATCCTCATGGCATCCTGTGTACCAAAGCTTACCTGGTCTTCACAGTACATGGTGAGCCTCCACAGGAAGATGACCCTGCCTTCAGAACCACAGGAAGCTCTCCTCTGAACTGAAGGCCTGGACCACACTATTTGGCCACCATTTTGTTCTCTTAGACATGATTTGGCTTCTCCAAGCACTCAAGCCCAGAACCTTGATTGTATCGACTACCCCAACTGTGCAGGGTACACCACCAGGCTCAGGGAGGGAGGTGGGGTGAATGCCATGGTGAGAACAGTCCTGGGGCAGCTGATGGAGCTGGACCTATCTCTTCCTCAGGCCCCAGGAGAGATGACACAGCTGCCCGTGATCAAAGCTGAGCCCCAGGAGGTGAACCAGTTCCTCAAAGTGACACCAGGTAAGTGTGTCCAAGGGAGGGGCTCTTTTTCTCTCTAATTTTGGGTAGACAGCATCCCTACTTCCTTGGTCCAGCCCACCCTTCCCACTCCACACTCCCACCTTTCCCTGGAATATCCTCTCCTCACCCTGCCCTTGCCCACTCTCCATCCATTCATGTTTCCCTACTATTGCCAGTTTCCTTCTTACCCATCTACAGCTATCATCACTACTGTCAATATCCTCCCACACTGTTATCCACTCATTAGCTGAAGCCTACTCTATAGCCATCCATCTATCCATATCCATCCACCCATCCAACAAGAGCCCATTGGACATCTCCCAGCCCAGGCACTGGAGAAGCAGAAAGAGAAGACAGTCCTTACACTCAAGTAGATCACAGAGTAGTGATGGCCACAGACAAACCACCAATTACTCCACCAGCTGTGAAGATAGCAGAGCCCCAGAGAGCACTGGGAGCACATATTTGGACTGCTCAGCCCACACAGGGGAGAAGAGGGCAGAAAAAGCTTCTTAGAGTTGCACAGAAGGACAAAGCGTTAACTGAATCTTTCCAACCCCATTTCACTCATTGATCAAACATTGATAAAGCATCAACTGTGTACCTGGCCCTGGGCTAAGCATTACAAGGTTTAGAAAGATGAATAAGGTCCAGCTTTTGCCCTCAAGGTGCTTAACTCACAGAGAAGACAGGGTATCTACAAGATTGAAAAGGACCAGTGTTAACACACTTATACTGTAGAGTGCCCCTCCATGTATGAAACATTTTCACATATCTTAGTTCATTGCATTCTCATGGCTTCAGTCAAGGAGTCCTTTCATCCCCATTCAACAGATGAAGAAAGTGAGGCTGTCAGAGGTTAAATAAACATAATTGAGGTCACGCAGTCAATGGGTGCAACAGTCAGGACTTGAATTTGGGTCTCTCTGACCCCAAGTACAGTGCTCTTCAAAGTAGGGCATCCATAAGAGGCAAATGAGAGTCGAAAGAGGCGGTGAGGACTCCTGAAGCAGGCAACCTGGTGCTGAGGGCCCTGGAAGGGTGCAGCGTCTCCTCTCCAGCCTCACCACTCTTCTGTAGCACAGTAGAGCTCCAGGTTTCTGGGACGTGGAATGAGTCTGGACATTCTGTGCTGTGCTGGGAGCTCACCCGGCGTCTAGGCGCTTGGTCCTCTTGGCTCTGTCCAGGTCTCTCTGGCACCTCTTCCATAGTCATGGCTGGGGAGGCAACAGAGTCAGGGGGAGGAGAAGAGCAGTGTTCCTGGCTGGTCTGCCAAAAACCGAACACCAAGGTCCTGTTACCCCAAAGGTGGAGATGGCAATCCTGGGGTGATGATGGCTAAACATTTTGGAGTGGAAGGAAAAGGAAGAAGCTGTTCCCTGCTCCCTGCCATGGTCCCCATGGGTCTGGTTTTGGGAAGTGACCACAGTCACCTCCTGGGGTTATCTGAGCTAGAGGGAAGCTTAAAGACCCTGGACCCTGTGAATTCAGGGATGGGGAGGGATTCCAAGAATCCAGCTCTGTAATGCACACACCCAGGCTTACAGGAGCCAGGCCTCTGTAGTGTCCAAGATGGGGGTGGCTTCTGGGCTGTCAGCTCATCTTCCTGACACCATAGAGGGGCATCTTGTGTTATGGCCAAGGTCAAGGCCTCTCAGTCATCTCCCACGAGGTTAGAGCTGGGAAGCCCAATGCTAAGCTGAACTCACGATGTCAGGGCCAAACTGGGCCTCACCCTGCTAACCCGGTCTCCTCCATTCTCCCCCAGAGGACCTGGTACAGATGCCTCCGACGCCCCCCAGCAGCCACGGCAGTGACAGCGACAGCTCGCAGAGTCCCCGCTCTCTGCCCCCCTCCAGCCCCATCCAGCCCACGGCCCGCTCCTCCACGGCCATCTCCACTTCTCCCCTCCTCACTGCCCCCCACGTAAGGAGCTCGGGGTGGGCTGACCCTGGAGGCGAGGGAGCAAGTGAATCCACACCAGGGCACTGACCAGTGCAGAAGCGTCTGGGCAGCCCCAGCCGGACCCCCATTCCCGTCAGAATTCAGAGAGGGGCTGCCTGGCAGATGGGAATGAAACTCTTTTCATCCTGCCTCATGGTGAATGGGAACCCAAGGTGGAAAAGCCCAAGAGGCCTTTTGAGCCTACGTGGTGGCAGGGGCAGGATTAGGACTTGACAATCCTGACCCTCAGGGAGTAGCCTTGGCTGCCTCCAGGGAGCACTTTGGGGTGCAGTGCTCAGGCTCCTCAGGAGGCATGGAGCTAGGCCCTGAGACCTGGGGTAGGGTCTGAGGGGGGTGCTGTGTAGAAGCCCCGGATCCAGGATTTGCGGAGCTCTCCGCCCCTGAACAACATCCCAGGTGCCTAACCTGCAGGGCTCCTAGCACACCCTAAGCACTTGATACTTGTTGTTGGGTGCCATCAAGTTGGTTTTAACTCATAGCGACCCCATGAGACAGAGTATAACTGCCCCATAGGGTTTTCTAGGTTGTAATCTTTATGGGCTGGTGGTTCAAACCCACCCAGCCACTCCTCAGAAGGAAGGTTGGGCCATCTACTTCCGTAGTGATACCGCCTCAGATACCCAAGGAGGGGTCATTATAGTCGGGTCCGACTCAATGGCAGTGCGTTTGGTTTGGTTTTTGTTTAATCTTTATGGGAGCAGACCTCCAGGCTCTTCTCCCACAGAGCCTCGGTGTGGGTTTGAACCACCAATCTTTCTGTTAGCAGCTGAGTGTTTAATTGCCCATTGCTGCCCCAGGGCACCTTTGATACTTGTTATTGGATTTCATTCACATATGCCCCTTTTCCAGACAGAAACACTGAGGCTCAGAGCATTGGGTGCCTTGCCTGGGTCATACAGATAGTAGGTGGCAGAGCTTGAGCTTGACCCCAGAGCTGTCTGGCTCCTAACCACCATGTCCTGCTTTCTATAGAAGTTGCAGGGGACATCGGGGCCACTGCTCCTGACGGAGGAGGAGAAGCGCACCCTGACTGCAGAGGGTTACCCCATCCCCACAAAACTCCCCCTCACCAAGGCTGAGGAGAAGGCCTTGAAGAGGGTCCGGAGGAAAATTAAGAACAAGGTAAGGCATGAGCCTCGGGCTTCTGTGAGATTCCTTGCAGGACCGGGCCTCTGCCCCACTGGTGATGCCAGCCCTGAAATTGGAGGATCCCCGGAAGTGGGTATGTGGCAGTAGTAACCCTTGTTTGGGGGCTTCCCTTCCAGATCTCAGCCCAGGAGAGCCGCCGTAAGAAGAAGGAGTATGTGGAGTGCCTAGAAAAGAAGTAAGAGTCCCGGGATGGGCTGGGGAGACAGTGCCCTGCTCTCCACTGGGATACCAAAAGCAGGGACCAGTGATCCCTTGGACCTGAGGCACTGGGAGTGGGGAGGGATGGGCAGGGTTGAGAGGGCAGTGGTGAGTCCAGGGGCTGCCCCTGAGCCTGCTTGACCCCCACAGGGTGGAAACATTTACATCAGAGAACAATGAATTGTGGAAGAAGGTGGAGACCCTGGAGAACGCCAATAGGTGGGTGGTATCACTTAATGTCCTTCCCCACCTCTTTCCGTCTTCTGCTGGTACCTGGCTTCGACATAGCCCTGGGAGGCAGGAGCAAGGAGAGAAGGCTGAACTCTCGATGACAATGACCCTGTCTGGAGACAGAGACCCTGCAGGCTAGGACCTCTTATATCTTGACTTCTCTCCTTCCTTACACAACACTCCCATCCTTCCTAGTACATAACGCTAGGAGACACCAGACATGGCTGTTGAGAAACTTAAAGAGATGGTATAGAGCAGAGATGTTCAGAGCGTGGTCTCCAGACTAGCAGATCAACACCCTGGGAGCTTGCTAGAAATGCATATTCTTGGGCTGCATGCCCGACCTATAGAATCAGAAACTCTAGGGGTGGCCCAGTAATTCATGTCCTCAGAAGCCCTCCAGGTAATTCTGATACACCCCAAAGTCTGAGAACTGCTAGCGTAAATCCTTGCCACCCAAGATGAGCTCCCAAACAGGCATCACCTGGGAGCTGGTTAGAAATGCAGAATCTCTGGACGTTCCCAACTTACTGGATTCGAATCTGCATTTTAACAAGACCCTTGGGTGAATTGCACGCACATGGAAGCTTGAGATGCCACCAGAGCTCCAAGAGAAACAAGTGCAGTGCTTGGCACGTAGACGCTCCATGAAGTCCCAGCTCTGGGTTCTTATCCTGCTCTGCCATTCGTGAGACTCCAGGGAGACTGCTAAACCTATCTGGGCTTCAGTTTCTTTGTCTTAATGGGGTGTGAGAAGGACCATCTGGTAGGATTAAAGTAAGGATCAAATGGGATGGTACAAGCAAAGCTCCCGGCATGGTGCTTGGCATTTGGGAATGCTCAGATCGTGTTTGAGTTTATTCTTGGTGGTGGTAGTTACTCTGAATTCTTGACAGTGTCCAGCCTGGAGCCCACAGTAGGTCTTTAATAATATTATTTGCTGAGATGAATTAAAATAATGTAGGCAATAGCCTGGCATGTAGCAGGTACTCAACACAGGACTTTTTCCTTCTTTCCTTTTCCCTGGGTTCCTCCAAAGGAGCTCTGGTGGCATAGCTCCTAATGCATATGACTGCTAACCAGAAGGCTGGAGGTTGAACCCACCAGCTACTCTGCAGAAGGAAGACTGGGCAATCTACTTCCATAAAGATTTACCACCTCTGAAACCCAAAAGGGGTTGCTATGAGTCAGAATCAACTTGGTGGCACTGAGTTTGTTTTTTTTTTTTTTTTTGGTTTGGACTCTTCCAAGGGGATCCAGCCACCACCCTGATTCACCTGGAAACCCCACCCCCCAGCGAGATGGGAAGAAGGGAGAAGAGCCACTCTTGGGACCCAACCCCACCTCTGGCCAGATTCAGCCAGGCACTTGGCGTTATTTTGCCACCTGCTGTACATTCTGGGAACTGCATGTTCCACCGGCCGGGCTGGGGGGACAGCTGTAATTAAACACTTGTTCACCAAGCTTGGGTGAGCACTCTCTGTGTGTGTCCCAAGGATTCCACCATGGCTAGGGCCAGTCCTCACCTCAGGGAGCCAAAGAGACTGACATGGAAATTCATAAGTAAAAAATGTGTTATCGGCACTGTGTTGTTGTTGTTGTTGGGTGCCATCAAGTCATCTCCAACTCATAGCGACCCTGTGTACAACAGAACGAAACACTGCCCGGTCCTGTGCCAGCCTCACAGTCCTTGCTATACCTGAACCTATCTTTGCAGCCACTGTGTCAGTCCATCTCATTGAGGGCCTTCCCCTTTTTTGCTGACCCTCCACTTTACCAAGTATGATATCCTGCAAAGAACGGTCCCTTCTAACAACGTGAGGTGAGACAAAGTCTGGCCATTCTCATTTCCAAGAAGCATTCCAGCTGCACTTCTTCCGGGACAGATAGGTGCTGTAATCAAAGGAAATGAAATTATTAAAATGATAACCATCATTGAACACTCACTATATGCCAGGCACTGTGCCATCCACATCCCTTCATTATGAGCTCAGGATGTTGTGGGGTGAAAGGAGGGAACATCAGTTTCTTTGTGGCTGGTGTAGGTTAGAGGAAGAAGTCTGACCATACCCTAGGTCAGCTGCAGCAGACCTCCTTCAAGCCCCCCTTTGACCAGGAGCATCACAGAGCACCCCTGGGCTCCCACAGGATGACCCAGATAGTCACCATGAGGCAGGCCCCAGGTGCCCCAGCCACTCCACAGAGGAGCCAAGTGGGAGGTGACCTTTTCTGTCTTGACTGAAATGGTCACCGGGTATGGAGGCCAAGTCTAAAGCCAGCCCAGATCCCCCCAGGAGAGCTCCAGGGGGCTGAGATGCCTGCTGGGTCAGAGCCTGTGGGTGACAGCTGTGCCCTCCTCAGGACCCTGCTCCAACAGCTGCAGAAACTCCAGACCCTGGTGACCAACAAGATCTCCAGACCTTACAAGATGGCTGCCACCCAAACTGGGACCTGCCTCATGGTAGGTGCTGTTCCCTCCACCACAGAGCCACACGACAACTCTTCTTGAGGCTGGTTCTCTAGAGGGTGGGGAGAGCTTTGACAATACTGTTGGCAACGCCACCCAGATAAACCATCCTAGTGCCTGCCAGGCTGGCAGCTCCATGTAGATGCAGGCTCCTTCACCAAGGCCATAGAGCCTTCCAGAACATACCCTTCCCTGACTTGTTCCAACATGGGTGTCAATGGCCTAATGACATCCCGGCTAGGGAATGATGGGGAGGATTCCTTGAGGTGGTAACTTCTACAGACTCTGGAATAAAGGACTTGGGAAGATTTAGGGAGGTGTGGACTTAGTTCTTTCTGGAACAAAGGGTGAGGAGAAGGCTAAGCAAATCCCTAGACCCTGAAAGAGTGCTCAGTGCGTGACTCAGGCCTCTGCCAGTCTCTTGTCCATCCTCTCCTAGAAATGTACTGCCTGTTGCCTCCTGGCTGCCCCAGACCCCCAGAATTCTTGTCAAATGACAGGGCCATGATATGGACAGTAATCTGGGCTCCATGACTCTTAGCGTCTCCCTGCTGGCCAGTCTTCACAGGAATCCTGCTTAGAATCTGGTGTGGCAATATGTCCCCCTCTCCTCTCCCAACCTCCACCTCTACCTCCACCTGCCCCTTCCTTCTTTTCCTGGTTTTCCCCTCCCCATAGGTGATAACCACATTGACCGTGTCCCTCTTTTTCCAGCACTGCTTTGTGGCAGCCCTCCTACAGTGGGTCGGGATGGCCTGTGTAAACTCCATCTTCTCCAGAGAGGGTGGGTGACCCCACATCTAGAGTGTAGATGACACTGGGAGCCACTTTCTTGGAAAAATTCTGAGTCCTTTGCACCCATTGGTTTTAGGGAAAGAACATTGAGATGACCAGAGTTGCAGACTTCCCTTCCCAGATCTGACCACTGCTCTCTCTCTCTCAACTACCAGGTGGCAGCCTTGTGCTTTGTTCTGGTGCTGGGCTCCCTCATGCCCTGCCTTCCTGAGTTCTCCTCCAGCTCCCAGACTGTGAAGGAAGACCCCATGGCCACTGACAGTATCTATACGGCCAGTCAGAGTGAGTGCCCTCCTTTCCTGCCAACCACCCTCCTCCAGCCAAACATGAGAGTGGAGCCAAGTTCTGGGTTGGCATCATCTCTTTCACCTCCTCATTTTGAAGATGGGGAAACAGAGGCCCAAAGAGGGCCTATGATTGCTCTGTGTTAGTGGTCGAATTGGGACTAGATTCTCAGCCTCCTTCTCCGACAGCTCCCTCAGTGGTTTGGAGGAGGAGGACTTAGGGGATAAGAAGAATGTTCCAGACCTAGTCCCCTGTATTATGGCACCAGTGGTGATGGAGATCTGCTAAGCATCATCAGTATTTTATAAGTGGAATCGAAAGTGAGTTTGCAGTCAAGGACCACTTCTAATAAGGTGGTGGTGGCTGCCTGAAGCTTTGTGTTGAGAAGACCTCTGAGTCACCACTAAGGATCGACAGGAAGGAGAGTCATGATCCATTGCTGGTGCCGACCATGGTACAGGATAGGTAGTGGTGGCCAGATATTTGCCATTGCCCTGGGGGATCATAACGTACAGTTGAGAACATGGAGTTTTAGAGTCAGTTGTAACTGGCACCATCATTGGCTAACTCATCTTGAGCATGTGTGGTAAATTCTGTAAGTTTGCGTTTCTTCATCTGGAAAATGGGCATTTCCATTCTGCACTTACTCAGCAGGGGCGTTGTAAAGATGAAACGTGATGGCACACACCGCCTGGTCCACAGTACACGCTTACTATGTGGGCACACTCACTCCTTTTTAGAAGAGCTCAGAAGATGAGCACTGTGCATGGCAAAGGGAGAACTGGTCAGGGCCCTGGAACAAAGAGGAGGGTGGATTTCAGAGGCAGACAGCTACTTCAGGTAGACCTGCAGAGGAACTTCCTGGTTGTCCATTATTTATCAGGAGCAAGTTATCTGGCACAGCAGGAGGAGGAAGAGGAAACAGATGGAAGGTCACAAAAGCGATTAAGGAGGAGAAGTTTCACGGAGGAGGGATACTGCCAGGAGGATGCACAAGACGTTGGTGACCTTGAGGGGAGGAAACCAGTGTGGGAGGCTAGGGGAAGAGGAATTAGAGGCAGAGAGTGAGAGCCACTCCCTGGACAAGTCCACTCCCTGGACTCTTTCTCCCTGGCTCAAGAAGAAGACAACAGGACAGTTGCTAAGGGGGATGGGCCTGGGGATGCAAGGTCTGTTTTTCCAAAAGCATAGAGACCCATGTGCATGTGGAGGTGGAAGGGCCAGAGGAAGGTGGGAAGGGGTGCTAATGGACAAAGCCAAAGTCCAAAGAGACAAGGAGATAAATGAGCCACCTGGAGTGAGTGCCATGAGTTTAGGCCCCATATCTGGCCAGGATGGAGTCCCTGGGTGCAAACATTAATGCGCTCAGCTGCTAATTGGAAGGTTGGAAGTTTGAGTCCACCTGAGGCACCTCAGAAGAAAGACCTGGAAATCTACTTCCAAGAAAAGGAACCATTGAAAACCCCATGGAACACAATGCAACTTTGATGCACATGGGGTCACCATGAGTTAAGGTCAACTTGATGGCAGCTGATTTTACTGGAATCTGGACAGGGCAAAGAAGAACCCATCTGAGATAGGAGATGGCTTTTGGAACACATGGATTTACAGAACTACCTGTGGATGGCCTGGGGCATTGCACAATTCCAGGGGGTGCTGTTCACATAGGTTATGAGGTCAGAGCTGAGGAATCTGGAAGAGTTTGTGTGTTGGGGGGAAATAGCATAGAGCCTAGAACCTCCCTGAGAGAAAAATGAAGCAGTCTGCTTCTGCAAAGATTTGAAGCCTTGGAAATCCTATGGGGCAGTTCTACTCTGTCCTATCAGTTGCTATAAGTCACAATCAACTCTATGGCAGTTGGTTTTGTTTTGTTTGTTTATTTGTTTGTTAGTCCTGACAAGGAACCATAGTGGTGCAGTGGTTAAAACGCTGCTAACCAAAAGGGTGACGGGGCAAACCACCAGTGGCTCCACTGGACAAAGATGTGGAGTCTGCTTCCGTAAAGATTTGCAGTCTTGGAAACCCTATGTGGCAGTTCTACTCCATCTTATAGGGTTGCTATGAGTCGAAATTGACTCGACAGCAATGGAATTGTGCTAGTGCTGACAAGGAGCCCTGGTGGTATACTGATTGAGCACTCAGCTGCTAAGTTAGAGGTCAGCAGTTTGAACCCATCAGCCGTTCTGTGGGAGAAAAGACCTAGTGATCAGCTCCTGTAAAGATTACCGCCTAGGAACCCTATGGGGCCGTTCTACTCTGTCCTATAGGGTTGCTGTGAATCAGAATCAACTTCACTGCAACAGGCTTGAGTCTGGTTTTAATGCTGACATGTCCCTGGGAGCATGGGACAGGAGTCCCTGGGTGGTGCAAATGATTTACACACTTGGCTGTTACCTGAAAAGTTGGAGGTGCCCGTCCACCCAGAGGTCCCTTGGTAAAAGGCCTGGTGATTAATCTCTGTAACATTAGCCATTGAAACCCTGTGGAGCTCAGTTCTACTCAGACACACATGGGATTGACATGAGTTAGAATCAACTCAACGGTAGCTGGTTTTACTTCTTAATGTGGCACAATTTACCTAACAGCCTGGTACCTCAGTTATCTGCTTTGTGAAATGAGGCTAAAAATACCTTATTCCCAGGAGTCACTCTAAGATTTTTAACAGTTTGATGTAGGTTAAAGGACCTTGCAAAATGCCTGGCACATAGTAGGTGTTCAACATATGTTTATTTCCTTTCTGTTCATTTCCCTGAGGAAAAAAACTAAGGAAGAGACTCATTCAAGGTCTTGCATGAAGTGAGTGGTGGAGGTGGGATTAGAATTCAGCTCTCCTAATGCCTCAAACCCTCTGCTGGTTGTTGCTGTTAGGTGCCATAGAGTTGGTTCTGAATCACAGCAACCCCATCTACGATATAATGAAACACTCTTGGGTCCTGTGCCATCCTCAAAATAGTTGCTATATTTGAACCCATTGTTGCAGCCACTGCGCCAATCCATCTCACTGAGGGTCTTCCTCATTTTCGATGACCAAGCATGATGTCCTTCTCCAGGGAGTGGTCCCTCCTGATAGTATGTCCAAAGTACATGAGAAGGAATCTCACCATCCTGGCTGTACTTCTTCCAAGACAGATGTGTTCATTCTTCTGGCAGTCCATGCTGTATTCAGTATTCCTTGCCAACACCATATTTAAAAGGCATCAATTCTTCTTTGGTCTTCCTTATTCATTGTCCAGCTTTCACATGCATATAATGCATATGAAAATACCGTGGCTTAGGTAAGGCATACCTTAGTCCTCAAAATGATATCTTTGCTTTTCAACACTTTAAAGAGGTCTTTTGCAGCAGATTTACCCAATGTAATACGTCATTTGATTTTTCAACCATTGCTTCCATGGGCATTGATTGTGGATCCAAGTAAAAATGTGAAATTCTTGACAACTTCAGTCTTTTCACTGTTTATCATGATGTTGTTTATTGGTCTAGTGAGGATTTTGTGTTCTTTATGTTAAGGTGTAATCCATACTGAAGGCTGTAGTCTTTTTTTTTTTTTTTTTTTTTTTTGGCAATATTTCCTTCCCTCCCCTCCCACCCCTGGTAACCAACAAAGAAAGTTTCCTTCCACATATAAACCTTTCCATGACTTTTTACAATAATAAACTAATACAATATTTGTCTAAAGGCTATAGTCTTTGATCTTTACCAGTAAGTGCTTCAAGTCCTCTTCACTTTCATCAAGTAAGGTTGTGTCTTCTGAATCTCACATGAATCTTCATCCAATCCTGATACCGCTCATATAGTCCAGTTTCTCAAATTATGTGCTCAACATACAGATTGAATAGGTATGGTGAAAGGATACAACCCTGACATACACCTTTCCTGATTTAAAAACTATGCAGTATCCTCTTGTTCTGATCAAATGACTGCCTCTTGGTCGATCATTCCTCATGAGCACAATTAAGTGTTCTGGAATTCCCATTCTTCACAATGTTATACATAATTTGTTATAATCCACACAGTTGAATGCTTTGGCATAGTCAGTAAAATACAGGTAAACATCTTTCTGGTATTCTCTGCTTTCAACAAAGATCCATCTGACATCAGCAATGATATCCTTTATTCCATGTTGTCTTCTAAATCCAGCTTGAACTTCTGGGAGTTCCCTGTCAATGGACTGCTGCAACTGTTTTTGAATTATCTTCAATAAAATTTTAGTAGCATGTGATAATAATGATATTGTTCAATAATTTCCACATTCTATTAGGTCACCTTTCTTTGGCACAGACACGATTGTGGATCTCTTCCAGTTGGTTGGCCCAGTAACTGTCTTCCAAATTTCTTGGTATAGATGAGTGAGTGTTCCCACCACTGCATCTGTTCATTGGAACATCTCAATTGGTATTCCATTCCTGAACCTGTTTTTCTCCAAAGCCTTCAGTGCAGCTTGGATTTCTTCCTTCAGTACTGTCGGTTCTTAATCATATACTACCTCCTGAAATGGTTGAACTTTGACCAATTCTTTCTGATGTAGTGATTGTGCCTACCTTCCATCTTCTTTTGATGCTTCCTGTATCACTCAATATTTTGTCCATAGAATTCTTCAATACTGCAATTCAAGACTTGATTTTTCTCTTCAGTTCTTTCAGGTTGAGAAATGCCAAGTGTATTCTTCTCTTTTGTTTTTCTAACTCCAGGTCTTTGCCCATTTCATTATAAAACTTCATTTTGTCTCCTTGAGCCACCCTTTGAAATCTTCCATTAAGCTCTTTTACTTCATCATTTTTCCATTCACTTTAGCTACTCTACATTCAAAAGCAACTTTCAGAGTCTCTTCTGACATCCATTTTGGTCTCTTCTTTCTTTCTTGTCTCTTAAACGATCTTTTGTGTCCTTTACCTATGATATCCTTGATGTCATCCCATAACTCATCTGGTCTTTGGTCATTAGTGTTCAATGTATCAGATGTATTCTTGAAATAGTCTCAAATTCAGGTGGGATATATTTGAGCTTTTGTGGCCTTATTTTAATTTGTTCAGCTTCAACTTGAACTTGCATATGACTAATGGCTGATTGGTTCCAGAGTTGGCCCTGGCCATGTTCTGACTGATAATATATTGAGCTTCTCCATTGTCTTTTTCTACAGATGTAGTCAATTTGATTCCTGTGTATTCCATCTGGCAAGGTCCACGTGCATAGTCACTGTTAATGTTGAAACAAGGTATTTCCAATGGGTAGGTCATTGGTTTTGCAAAATTCTATCATGTGATCTCTGGTGTCATTTCTATCATGAAGACCATATTTTCCAACTACTAATCCTTCTTCAGGAGCTCTGGTGGTGTAGTGCCTAAGGCACTTGACTGCTAACCAGCAGGCTGGTGATTCAAACCCACCAGCCACTCCGCGGAAGGAAGATTGGGCAATCCACTTCTGTAGTGATATCACCTCGAAAACCTAAGGAGGGGTTGCTATGAGTCAGATCCGAGTCAACAGCAATGAGTTTGAGTTTGTGAGTCCTTCTTTAGGAGCTCTGGTAGCGTAGTGCCTAAGGCTTTTGACCGCTAACCAGAAGGCTGGCAGTTCAAACCCACCAGCCACTCTTCAGAAGGAAGACTGGGCAATCTACTTTCATAAAGATTTACCACCTCAGAAACCCAATGAGGGTCACTATGAATCAGAAATGACTTGAAGGCAGTGAGTTTGTTTGTTTTTGTTTAATACTTTTGTTTCCACTTTCGCATTCCGATCACCGGTAATTATCAATGCATCTTGACTGAGCGTTTGATCAATGTCAGACTACAGAAGTTGTAAAAATCCTCAATTTCTTCATCGTTGGCTTTAGTGGTTGGTGTGTAAATTTTATTAATAGCAGTACTAACTGGTCTTCCTTGTAGGTGTATGGATATTATCCTATCACTGCCAGCATTGTACTTCAGGATAGATCTTGAAATATTCTTTTGACAATCAGTGAAATGCCATTTCTTTTCAATTTGTCATTCCCAGTGTAGTAGACTATATGATTGTTCAATTCAAAATAGCCAATACCAGTCCTTTTCAGCTCACTAATGCCTAGGATATTGATCGTTATGTGTTCCATTTCATTTTGACAACTTCCAATTTTCCTAAATTCATATTTCATATATTCCACATTCTGATTATTAATGGATATTTCCAGCTGTTTCTTGTCACTTTGAGTTGTGCCACAACAGCAAATGAAGGTCTCGAAAGCTTTACTCCGTGCACATGAGTGCCTTCCAACCTGAGGAGCTCATCTTCCGACACTATGTCAGACAAGGTTCCACTGCTATTCGTAAGGGCTTCACTGACCAATTACATAGATCACCAGGTCTTTCTTCCTAGTCTCTCTTAGTCTGGAAGCTCTGCTGATACCTATCCACAATGGGTGACCCTTCTGGTATTTGAAATACCAGTGGCATAGCTTCCAGCCTCACAGCACCAGACAAGCCACAGAGTATGACAAACTGACAAACAAGTGGTGGATCATCTGCTTGCTTAGGAAGAGCTAATTTCTTCTAAGTGCTCACTAAGCACAGTTTCAATCACTTCTCCTATATTATCTCATTTAATTTTCATATCTGTAGGAGGTAGGTCCTGGTATCCTTATTTTACAGATGAGCAAAGTGAGAATCAGAAAGGTTAAAGCTAAATGTGTGGCTTGCTTGAGGTCACATAGTTAGGAAGTGTTACAGCTGGGATTCAAATCCAGGCCTGTAAGTTTCCAGGGCCCAAGTCCTTCACTACTAGGCTAGGCATGGGGCTGGGATACAGAGGGAGGGAGCCCTTGGCACTGGTGGTTTACCCTTTGCTCTCTTTCCAGTGCCCTCCCGAAGCCTCCTGTTCTATGATGAGGGAGCAGGCTCGTGGGAGGATGGCCCCAGAGCCCTTCTGCCTGTGGAGCCCCCGGATGGCTGGGAAATCAAGCCCGGGGGGCCTGCAGAGCAGCGGCCCCAGGATCACCTGCAGCATGACCTTCTGGACAGCACCCATGAGACCGCCAAGTACCTGAGTGAAGCCTGGCCGGAGGATGTCGGTGGAAACGGCACCAGCCCCAACTTCTCCCATCCCAAGGAGTGGTTCCGTGAGAGGTGGGTGGATGGTCCCTGCTCTTCCTGGGGTAGTGGAAACACCTACCTCTGTTCACCCTTTGTCCTCCACATCACCCACACCTTCCCAAGGCCCAATTCCTCTAATGTCCAGACCCCCTTGCAAAAGGGTTAGAGGGTTCTCATTGAGGTCATCCCTGTAGCATGTGGGTCTCCCTTCCCCCACTTCACCTGACTTCTCTTCTTTCTCTAGGGATCTGGGCCCCAACACCACCACGAAACTCTCCTAGCCTGTGCCAAGACCCAGGACACAAGATGGACACCCTGGCACCCAGAAGAGGGCTTGTCTTGCTCACCACCCCAGATTCGGCTTGTACCCCTTCCGCCTGGGAGTTCCCATCCCAGAAGAAAGGGTTCCACTTCTCATCCTTTCTTTGCCCCATTCCCTGGCTGAGGCCTCTCCTATCACCCCAACATTTGGACGGTTCCCTTGGGCCAACCACTCCTTTCTCACTTCTCCCTCCACAACCATCCGTCCACAGATGAACCACTCACTGGGTACCCTCTTCCTTCCTCCTAATGACCAACACAACCACTGCCTCCCTGCCCCCATGCACACACACCAACATGCACATAACATACAACACACATACACACACACACACCCCTCACCCCACCTCCCACTGTACAGAGACCAAGAACAGAAATTGTTTGTAAATAATGAACCTTATTTTTTATTATTGCCAACCCCCTAAGATATTGTATTTTACAAGTCTCCCTCCTACCCTCCCCCTCCCGTTTTATATTTTATGAAGTTAGTGCGGGCTTCGCTGCTCCCTGGCCCGGGAAGGAGAGTTCCCCCCACTTCCCTGGCCTCCCCCTGCTGCTGCCCAAGCCTCTGGGCCTTTTTAATTGCCAAACTGCTCTGTCCATCAGCTCAGCACATGCTTTAAGAAGGCAAAATTTAAAAAAAAAAAAAAAAATGCAGCATCAATCCCTGACTTTGTGCCTTTCTTCATAGGAGGTGGAGGGTGGGAGATAGGTTGAGAGAGGAGGGAGTGAAAAGAATAAATAGACTTCATAGTCTGAGAGGGGTGTGAAAAGCCATTTCTATTGGGTTTCCCTCACCCCGCTAGGCACAGAATTCCAACTCAACAGTCAAAGGATTTTGTGGCAATCCTTCTGCCCTAAGTGTCCTCCAAGTACTGACTATGGTTGAATGTGGAAGCAGACAGGCAAATAAGTGCCTCTTTCAGGGATGGGAACTACATTGAGCACTACTATGGGCACTGTACTAGGCACTGTGCACACAGTATCCAGTTTTATGCTCCTAAAATCTTCCAGTTTCTTTGTCATTGTATCCTTTGCCTCAGCAGGATCAAAGGCACTGATTTTGGAGTAGGAAGAGCTGGGTTCAAGACCTGGACCTGCCATGTGTGTACTGGGCAGAATTCTAATATGGCCTCCAAGATTCCTGCCCTCTGATGTACATGTGTGGTGCAACAACTACTGACCTAAAGGTATCAAAATTAAAAAAAAAAAAAAAAAAAAAAATTCAAGAACCCCTGTAAGGAGAGAAACAATAGAGTAAAGCAACTATTGGAGTAATGTGATTGGGTTGGGATAACCTGAGTGGGATGACATTGGAAGAGATTCCCAGGGCTCCAAAGTCCAAAAAGAGGAGAGAGATTTTCACACAGGAGGTCTAAGGGTTACACATGCGTCAGGAGGGTTGGGGGTTAAACATGAATCACAAACAAATCTTTCATGATGTCACAGACTTTCTGTGAAAACAATTTCTCTGAGTCACAATCTTATATATAAGCATTTTTTGGAGGAATATTTAAGTCATTCTACTTCCAGAATATTCTTATCACTTCTTTAACTATAAACTATAACTTTATCTACAAGTAGTTTTTCTGAGAACAAAACATTTTTTATCATAGTCTTAATTAAGGGTAAACACACTTGTTCATTCAAGGAGTGTTGCACGTATTCTCATTCAGACTTGTGTCACTTAGTCATGCCCAGTGCCTCAATTTTAAGATGCTCTTTCACACTGTCTCCTTCTGATCATGAATTTCCATAGAAATTCCTTGATCATTATCATAAGAGTGCATCCTTCTACATGGGCTTACTCTAGGAGTCTTTTCTTTCTGTACTTATTATATTATAGACAGATACCTTGCTTTACCATGACATAGAACAGACATTCTGTTTCTATGATCTTCTGGTTGGAGTAAATGAGGCCACATTTGGAGGAACAACTTGGCATTTCTAAAAAAAACTAACCCAAGATGTGAAACTAGAGTCTTTTACAAACTGTGTTTCTTCAAGATATATTGTTTTCTGCATTACTAGGGAAACAGCAGTCTGATTACAAATGTTATAGAAACAATTAATAAAGATACTAAGAAAAAGTACAAGAATAGTTACAAACATTAAACAAAGTCCATAATATTAGCAACATGCATGGGATCATGATGTTCCATGATCTTGAGATGAATTGATTACTTCAGATGCCATCTTCTTCTGGCTGCAAGGGTGTTTGAGTGTGATTTTCAAATTTCTAGAGGGCTGACAAGGAGCTCTGGTGGTACAGTGCCTAAGGCATTTGACTGCTAACCAGAAGGTTGGCAGTTCAAACCCACCAGCCACTCCATGGAAGGAAAACTGGGCAATCTGCTTCTGTAAAGAGTCCACCTTGGAATTTGTGTGGGTCACTATGAGTCAGAATGGACTCAACGGCAGTGGGTTTGTATTTTGTTTTTGTTTTTGTTTTTGTTTTGAATAGTCAAAAAGGTATTTTGACCTTCTTCATATGTCTGATATGGTCCAATTTTATTGAAATATTTTGGTCAAGCATTTTCAGTAAATCAGTAGAGTAAAATTTATCTGCAAATGACAAACTTAAAATGTTCATGGTTAACTTATAATAATAGTTTTTAAATGTGAAAGACCTAATTAATTAATAATCCATGTAAAGCCAGATAAATTCAATTCAAAAGAAAAACTTTAGATGAAAATATTTCTAAACATGATGATTAGCCTTATTTTCAAAGACATCAAATATAACACATAATAATCTTGAGATACAATACTAAATAGAATATACCAAAACCATTAATTCTTTAAACGTTTGAATAGTAATAAAAATTCTATAGGTAAATTATGTCATTTCCTTGTTAAAACTATTGGCTTTGATAATGTTAGAGTTAAAGCAAACAAAGTTGCAAGTAAGTTAATAATTGAAACAATGAAATTATGACACACTATTGTGTGCTTGTTTAACATCAGGCAAACATTATGGGCATATGATTTTTAACTTAAAGAAAATTTACACTTCTTTTTATTTGACAATATGTTTCATATAATTCCTGACATTAAATAAGCCTTTTTAGCACTATTTTCATTATAAAACAGAAACAAATCTTTTGTGGCTTTCCATAGGGTTTCAAACCTGTCAAGAGTTTATCATATTCAGGACTTTATTCTGTAAAAACCCTTGTCTTCAAGACAGATTGCACAAGACTAAAAAATAACTCTTCAGCCCAATAATAAAGAAAAAAAAATTGTTATCTGAACAATGAGAAACCTAATTTTTTGCTATTTGACATTAAAGCTTTTTAAAGTTTTCATGAATCAACCCATTAAGCTTTCAGCTATAATAAACAAGAACCTGAGCATATCAAACAAAAATCTTTAATAAACTTTCCAAATTCCTTGTATTTGTTATATATTTCTCAAACCATAGTACTTATATATATATATATATAAAAAAAAAAAGAACACATTCCTTCTTTCTTCTTTAGCATCTCTCAACTTTCCTCTGTCTACAACTTACTATTCTTTTATATTCTGGTTTAACTAGACTGTTTAAGACAAAAGTACTTCCTTTTTCCCTTTTTAAAATAATTTAACCTAATCTTCTTAACTACATATTTAACTTTTCTCTGACCATCAACGATTTACTCTGACTTTTTATACTCATCTAAATTCCTTTTTCTTTCTCATCTTGGCTCTGTGTTTTTCTTTTCCTTATCTTGGAACAGCTAGTCTCTTTCATTTTAGTACAAAATTATTTCATATACTTAATTTAATTCAAGCAATTTAAAGAGATAAACTGCTTTTATGTTGACATTACAAAACATAACCTTTATTAAAACAAATTTATTTTCATTAATTCCTGGGAATATTAAGACTATTCAATGTATATAAGTGCTTATTTATTATTAAACTAATCAGAGTAAGTTCTTTGAAGAAATATTATAATCTAATTTAGTAATATCATCCAGGGGTTGGAAATTATTATATATTCATAACCTTGTCTTTTGCACGCTCTATAGGATAATTTAGAGAAGCGATTTAGAACAATTTTTCTTTTTTAAGGTATGGTTAAACTAGTTAAAATAAACAAGGTATTTTTCAAATAGATTGACTTAAATCAAAATTTCTTAGAGTAACTATTAAGAGAACTGAGAATTTCAGACAGCTCCATAAAAAAAAAAAAAACTATTCATGGCCTTCAACTTGATAAAAAAACAGAAGCTTAGACACATGAGTCAGGAGGACTGGGGATTACATATGAGTCACAAGTAAATCATAATGTCAGACTTTCTGTGCAAGGAATTTTTCTGAGTCACACTCTTATATAAACATTTTTTGGAGGAACATTTGTGTCATTCACTTCCAGAATATTCTTATCACTTAGTTTAACCATGAACTATAACTTTGTCTACAAGTATTCTTTCTGAGAACAAGACATTTTTATCATAGTCTTAAGTAAGCATAAATGCACACTTATTCATTCAAAGGAGGGATGCACATATTCTCATTCAAACTTACGTCAGTTATTTACTTATGCCAGGTGTCTCAGTTTTAAGGTACTCTTTCACAAAAGTTAGTGGTTCAAAGCCAACGAGTGGTGCCATGGTAGAAAGCCTTGCATAAAGATTACAGCCAAGAAAATTTTACAGAGCAGCTCTACTTTATAACACATAGGGTCACCACGAGTCAGAATTGACTCAAAGGCCACAGGTTTTTGTTTTGGGAATTTTGTTTGTGGTGTGTTTGGTGTACATGTTGTGTACACCAAACATGTGTACATGTCTCCTTCCCTTGAGTATGGGAAGGACCTCTGACTATAATGGATATCACCCTCATGGTTAGGCAACCTTATATGGCGAAAGTGAGAGATTTTGAAGTTGTAATTAAGGTCCCAAATCAGCTGATTTTGAATTAATTAAAAGAGAAATGATTGTTGATGGGCCTGACTTAATCTGGTAAAAAAATTAAGAGGGACTGTCCTTCCTAAGGAGCTCTAGTGGCACAGTGCCTATGGCATTTGACCACTAACCAGAAGGTTAGCAGTTCAAACCCACCAGCCACTCCACAGAAGGAAGACAGGGCAATCTACTTCTGTAAAGATTTACCACCTCAGAAATCCAACGGGGGTCACTATGAGTTGGTATTGACTCAATGGCAGTGGGTTTGGTTTGGTTTTTGGTTTGGGCCCTTCCTGAAGAGAGAGAGAGAGATTCTGCTGCTGGTCTTGAAGAAGCAAATAGTCATGTTGTGGCTGCACTAGGAAGGGCAGTCTTTAGGAGCTGAGAGCTTCGATCCTACAGTGGCAAAGAACTGAATTCTGCCAACAACATGAATGAGCTTGGAAAATGGCCCCAGGCTCCAGGTGAGAGGGCAGCCTGGCCAACACCTGATGGCACCCTCATGATAGCCTGGATGGAGAACATAGCTGAGCCATGCCAGGGCACAGACCCACTGAAACTGACATCATCCATACGCATTGTGTGAAACTGCAAAACGTGTGGCGCTTTGTTATGCAGCCTAGGAAACTAAAGGAGTCCCTGGATGATTTCTACAGTTAAGCACTCAACTACTAGCCAGTTGGTTGGTGGTTCAAACCCACTCAGAGGCACCTTGGAAGACAGGCCTGGCCATCTGCTTCTAAAAGGCCATAGCCTTGAAAACCCTGTG